AAGTAGCCTTTTTGATGCCTTTATACAAGACATTTGTAAAGTTTATCCCCAAGAAGATTGTACATCTAATTAATGAAGTAAGTGGTATAATAATGTATTAAAATTATAAGATCGTACATAAATATTACTTTGATGAATTTTTTTAAAAATTGAGTGGGGGTGCCATATGCAACTCTTACCGCTTAAAAAAAATACTTCCAATTCTGTGTGATTCAGTCTACATTTTCATGAAGTTTTAAAACGTTTCTTATAAAATATTATGTTTATACATGTGTGCAAATTATTACTAATTAGTTTTAATGAATACTTTTTTAAATGGTTTTAAAACTAGTTTTTTACACACTCAGTGTGTAGTTTTTGGTAGTTTTCTGGATGAGTAAGTAGACTAAATTCAGTTTTGACTTGTGTATTTTAATACTAGAAATACTGATAAGAGCCCATTTAAACTTCTTATACTTTTTAAACACATTTTTCTAAACTATTTTGATGTACCAAAATACTTATTTATTTTTGACTTTGTTTAACAATCCCTGCTGCTTTAATTTACGTAGCTAAACATTTGTGTGGTACCTTGTCAGATACTTTTTGAAAATCTAAGTCCATCAAGTCTAGACCTTTTCATCATCCATAAAACAATATCCTTGAAAAAAAGTTAACAGATCAGAAAGGGAAGACTTCCCTCTAGTGAATCCATGTTGATTTTTATATGACATCTTGTTTTGCTAGATAATTTTGCAAAACTATTTTTGTCAGACTCTCCAGCATTTTTTCTACAGGATAAGTAAGACCAACTGGTCTACAATTTCCAGGGCAACTGTTTATTACCCCCTTTAAGAATACAAGTAACTTTACAATTCTTCAGTCCTCAGGCTATTGACCTAACAATGAGTCGGAAAGACTTGTATATACAAGGCTGTATTAGTATTTTTGTTTTAGGGATGGGGGTACCAAAAATTCTCTATTCATACCATTACAACGTTTTCAGTTTTGTTGTCAAAACATCATTGATTATAACACCATATTTAAATGTAACCAAGTAGATAACGTGCATAGGTTATACTTTACCTGTTGGCAAAAACAATACATCGAAGCAATTATTATAATATATAAATAACTTTAAGTACTTAGAATATATATGGTTATCTTAAGATGATACCATTTGATACATTAGAATAGATTTTACAGATACCTCTGAGCAATGTTTTACAATTTTTCAAAAGAAAATTCTTGCACAAAATACATTATTCATGACTCATAACACAGCCAAGACTAGTTTAGTTTTCCTAAATTAACACAAATTATTAATATCTTGTCTCGGTAGGATGAAATTTAATGCATATTATTATGTGTTTAGACCAGCCAAATGTAATGCTACCATCTGTAATATTTTTTGGCTTTAAAATACTGACATAGTAATTATAATGTTTAATTTTACATAACTTGTTGTTTAGAAATTATTGGGGGAGGGCATATGCCCCCTGCCCCACTAATTCCTATGCCCCTGATACATGACCTTTGATCACTTTTAAAACCAGAAAAAAATGTCCAGTCCTGGTGCTTTATATATATTTTTAATCTATGAATCATTTTTCTTAAAGCCAAGGTATTAATGTCTGTATGATACAGGTAAATTCAGCTATTTCCCATAGAATATTCTGGGTTACATGATATAGGTAAATTTAACTGTATTCTATATTCTAGTTAAAGCTCAGCCATCTCACTGATCTTATAGTCTTCAACCTTGCCATGAGCATCATTTAAGGACCAAGTGCCCATTTTAACAATTTGTTTGCCTTTAACTTACTCAACAAAAAATTCTTGCTGTTAATCTTATCAGCTAACTGTTTCTCGTAAATCATTTTGGATTTCATAAATTGTTTTTTAACCAAATCTTTTTAAGTTTTATGTAGTTCCATAAATTTTCATTGTCATCTGTCAGTTTGAGCCTCATAAGTTTATTACAATTATCCTTGATTATCTCCTTTATGTCTTTAGTAAGAAGTTTAATCAACCCTGTTATGTTTTTCCTTTTTTTGTTTTAAGAATGTGACTAAGGGATAAATATGTACATGGTTCAGGTCAATCCTAATATTGCAGTTAATTCCATTACTTACTGGTATAGTTTCCTCTTTATTTTACATAGAAAATGAGCAGCTTCATTCAATTTTTTTTTACCACTACTTTACACTGAGTGTTGTAAAAGTCAAACATATAAAATTCTTTAACAGGACTAGTATGCAGATCCAGTTGATAATGAACAGTCTTTAAATAAGTCAATGATTTAATGGTTAATACATTTTTGTCTACCTGGAGCTTATCCTTTTAAAAATTATTTCCACAGGTTAACATACGTTTGAAACAGCTAAGAATTATGAGAGGAATAATGCAAAACTGTTATTGGATTTATAATTTTAAGTTTTCTTTAAAGCTGGGTGAAATTGACTTTTGATATGTTGTTTTGGAAGATGGGATGAACTTTTGAATTGTTTTGGATATCACTTGGATTCATTAATTATGGCTTAATAATTTGAAAATTTTTGTTTTTATAACTTTGATTTTCAAGCACTTCATTATGCATTTCAATGTGTAATTATAAGCTGTGTAGTTCTTTTAGCAAAATTTTAATAAATACAAGTTGCTTAATAAAACTTATAATGTGATTACATCTAGTATAAAAGTAGAGCTAATTTAGTATTAAATGGGTAATTCAATACTGTGATTAAGAAGACTGATATAGTAATGAGACTGAGAAATAATATACTGTATTTGCCCCAATTTAATGCACATCCAATTTTGAAAGGTTAAGTTGAAGAAAATTTGTTTTTTTACACATCGATTGTCAAAATGTATTGAATAGTTTCTAAATACAGTAAACAACTGTTGATGTATTAAAAATTTTTGGACAGTTTTACAAAATGTATTGAAAAGTTTATATGTGGTAATACATTGAAGTAATTATTCACCTACACATAAATCTTTGTCATTACTAGAATTGTTGCTACGATAGTATTCATCTCATTAATCAAATTTGCTTCCTTGAACCTTTGTTTCATCCTCTTCTGATTCCCACAGCATGTCATCCTCCATCCCATTGGATAGACAACATTTTTTGAAACTGTTAATGATGCTTTAATGACTTTCAGTGGTAGCTTCTAGTAAAATACCTTATAAAATTGAATATGCGTGAATATAATGCACAATCAATTTGTTTTTAGGTATTTGGAGAAAGAAAATGTGCATTATGTTCAGACAGATACAATAAATTTAAAGCTGTTATGCTGCTTGAACTGAGATACAAAATGCAACAAAACCTGGTTGTACATGTGCTTCTAGGTTTAAGATACAGTAGAAGGTCTTTTTTTAAGAACTGAAATATGGAGCATTTCAAAGATCAGACTGTTTTGCCTTCTTGGGCTTGATCACTGACATTTGGTACAATAAAGTTTTTCATGAAAGTATCCAAGGGCCCCAAGTTTAAGTCCTGCTCGGGGCAGATTTTTTGATATCCTTATATGCTGTATTGACATCCAGTATATGGTCACTTTCCCACCCTCCTAAAGTGTATTTTAGCTAAGTGAATGTTAAATTAAACCACCTATATACATGCCTATCTTAGTGTTTTGGTCTGTTATGTTGATAGTTTTGCTTCAGATGCCAGATTCTATTGCACATTGATAACTTGATATCTTGATTTGTGGTGGGTTATATTGTTTGTTAGTGAGTGGAGATGTTGGGCTTGTGTTGGCTTGAGTATGGTCCTTGGTGCATGCGAGTTGTGTAATGGTCAGGGTAGGGAGTTGTGTGTTTGGAATTGAGCCCTTGTAACTTGATTTGTGGTGGGTTATATTGTTTGTTAGTGAGTGGAGATGTTGGGCTTGTGTTGGCTTGAGTATGGTCCTTGGTGCATGCGAGTTGTGTGTTTGGAATTGAGCCCTTGTAACTCACGTGCTAGAGTGAGATGAGAGTTCCACAATCAAGTTCCAGTCAAGGCAGATTTCTCAGCATCTTGATATATTGGGTTGCATAGGTGCTGCTGGAGTGAAGATACAGTACATTGCACATATAATATTTTGTCAGAAATAAAAATCATTAGACAGTTAAGATAAGGATGTGCTATTGCCATTAAGATATATTAAACATTTCAAAGTATTGTGTTGTAAGATATTTTATGTTTACAAGCTTGCACGTGTTAGGGGTCTTGGAAACATTAAACATTGAATCAAAGTGTGTAAGGTACAATTGTTTTCAAAAATGTTTTCATTGTGATATATATTTAAGAACATGGGAAATTACTCTGTATTATACATGACAATCAATACAAAAATAGAATGTGTGCCTGCTTTGTAAAACAGTCAGTGTTGTATTACTTGTTGAGATACATATTTTCTGTAGGTTCAGTTCAGTGGAGGAAGCTGTACAGATCCTAACCTCAGTTATTTTATTGCATTTTCTTCCATATTCTACATTATTAGTGCCATATCTTTAGTCCAGCTGGTATGTACTTATTTTTTTATTTCATAAACTTGCACTGTAATTATATTAAAATTTAATTATGTGACTTAGTTAAAGGTTTATATCTGTGCAGTGTTAAACAATACTGTAGGGTTAAGGAGCTACTGGTGATTTTTCTAATGCTAGATTCTTGAATTTATGATTTGCATATATAATGTTGTTTCAAAATGATATTAATAGTGGAAAAACTCGCGTCATGTTTCCTGTGAAACTTATACTTATAGAAACATGTCAAAATTAAATTTTTTTTTTTTTCCAAGTATAAAAATAAAAGGCTTTTACTTCTTAATAGTATAAATATATACTTTGTTGTTGTTGGAATTAGGATTTTTCTACAGGAGGTGTCTGTGACTGGTTAGCAATAAATTCAACGATAAGTGAACAGCATGCACTTCACTTGTTTTCAAAATAATACCTATATTTGGAACAAGTTACAATCTTGGTACTTACCTGTGTTTCGGTGACATGTATAATTACTAACAGGTGACAAAGATGTAAGATAGGTGTAGTTTTCTTTTTTTGGCATTTGGTAATTGAGTGAACTTGTTAACATTTTGTTTTTAGTAGTGTTTCTTCTGAAGTGGATTTTTTTATCAATTTTACTTTAACGGTTCACTTTTCAGATTACCAGTTTTTCAAATTCGTTTTTAATAGTGAAAGTAATTTACCACAAGTTTTGAAATTTACTAGTTTATTTACTAGTACTCAAAGCATTGGCTTTTTAATACCTGATAAAATTTAATGTTTTTACTTTCCACAAATATCAGATGTGTGTTTGATTTTCATTTTACACAAGGAATTCCAAAGTTCATGTTACCACTTAGGATGTGGTGCAGTCTTCCACGTATGATCCTCTAATGTGAGGATCTACTCTTTTAGGGTGTCCTTCAGATGCTTTCGAAGGATGCTTCTTTCTTTCCCTCACACCTTTCCCCCCACCTCTTCAAGGAGGGATTCTAGCTATTTATGTGAGGTAATATACCGTATCGGAAGTTATAATTTTCCTATACTGAAAATATATTTCTGATAAGTACTGACCTTCTCTCACACTTCCTCCCCACTCAAAACTTGTGCTCCCATTTTCTGCCAAAACTAGAAGTGATGCATCAGGAGAGTGTGTTGCACTATTATTGGTGGAGGGTTGTTGCATGATATTTGCAAGCAAGATGCATTGGAATTGAGCAATTGTAAGATACGTAGGAGCTTAAGCCTTGTGACATGCTTAAAAAATATATGTGATATGCTTTGCATATAGAGGG